TCAGTGATGAAGAGCATTTGCCACTGTTGCAGAGGACCAGAGCTCAGTTCCCAGAACCCATGTCTGGCAGCTCACAGACACCTGTAACTCTAGCTCCAGGGGACCCGATATCCTCTTCTGGCTTCTGCAGGCACCTACATACACATGTCCACACACACACACACACACACACACACACACACATACACACACACAAATAAAAAATAAATCTTAAAAATAAAGCAAAAACAAAGATTTATGTTTCATTATGGTATTTTCAAACAAAATTGTCTTTACTTCTTTTTCTACTTCCCTAATGACCCTGTGCCCCTCACGCCCTCCCACTTCTAGTGGCCTCTTTCCAGCTGTTCCCTCATTTCTCTTCCTCAAGACCTCTTTTCCTCTCTGTGGTCTTCTGTCTGGCTTCCTAGCCTGCAGTCACTTTCTCATATACATACATATAAATATTGAAAGCTAGGATCCATGTATGAGAGAGAACATGCAGTGTCTGTCTTTCTTAGTCCGAGTCATCTCACTTGATACGATAATTCCCAGAGTGACCCACTGCCTTAGTCCACATTTTTGATGGGGGGGGGCTTTTGCCGGGTCCAGTCAACTTGTCCAGTCTGTACCTGAGAGGGAGAGTGTAGATTGAGGAAATAAACAGACAAGAGACAAGAGATAGAGTTAGGAGGGCACGCCAGTGAATGCTGGGAAAAAGCCCCAAGTTTATTATACACAGTCTTTATATACCCCAATCAAATGTGGGGGAAGGCAGAGACTTTACCAACATACAAAGAACAAACAAGCATAATTACCTTCCCAATACCCAAAACATCAAGTAACCACATCCTAAACCAAGCATCCTGTTGTTAAGGCAAGATAGACAATAGCCATCCCATAGGCTAAATATCCTGTTGTTAAAGTAAAATATCCATTAGTTACTTCTTAGGTCAAATATCCTGTTCTTTAACCTTGAGAGAGCAATAGTGGGTTTGATCTCTTTGACCTTAAGTCAAGATGAAGTGGAGCCATTCCTATGGACCCCAATAACCCAGTTTCCTGCAAATTCCGTAGTTTCATTTTTCTTCACGATTGAATAGAAGCCCACTGTGTATCTGTTGACAGATACTGTAGTGGTTTGAATGTGAACTGCCCCCCACAGGCTCAGGTGGTTGAACCCTTTGTCTCCAGTTGGTGATGCTGTTTGAGAAGTTATGGAATCTTCCGACAGGCTTGAGAGAGGATGTACATCACTGGAGGTAGCTGTTGAGGGCTCATTGCTTTACCCCATTTGTAGTTTGCTGTCTCTGCTTCCAGTGTACAGTTGAGATGTGACCTCTGGCTTCCTGCTCCTACTACTCTCCCTTCCCCACCATTATGAACCATAAGCTAAAATAAGACTGCTCCTTAAGCTGCTTTTGGCCACAGTATTTTGTCATAGTAACAACAACAGCAAAATAGCTGATACAGGCATCTAGACTGAATCCATTTCCCTACTATTGTGAATAATGCAGCAATGAACATGGATGTGCATACATCCCTTTAGTAGAATCCAGGGTTCTTGGGGGGACTCAGAAGTGGTAGAAGCTGGATCATAGAGAATATCTATTTTTAATTACTTAAATAAAATGTCATCAAATATATTTATTTATGCATGTTTTAGATGGGGGATACAGGTACCACAGTGTGTGTGTGGAGGTCAGAGGACAGGAGTTGTGTCTCTGCTTCTGCCTTGTGGGGCCCAGGAATGGAACTCAGTTGTGAGATAGCAGCAAGCACCTTTACCCTCTGAGCCATCTCTCTGGCCCTGTTTTTTGTTTCTTTTGTTTTTTTTTTTTAAAGATACCTCCATGCTTTCAATTTTCTCTAAAATCAAAACTTGACAAGCCAGAAGTAAACAGACTACTACTGAATCAGGGATGAATGAACTGCTGTTTGCTCGCTGCGGGGGAGGGGAGTGGAGTGGGGGGATAGGGCATGGGGGTGGGGTGGGGGTGGTCGTCTTCGTAATCATTCTCACTAATGCTTTGGTTGTATTCTATTAGTCTTGTTTGGCCTGCTTTGTTTACCTTCCTCCTGCCAGGCATGGCTCTTACCCCTTCTCCCTCCGATTTCTCAATGAGATCCCTATATTTAATGTCCAAGTCAGAAGCAGTCATTCTCCAAAAGGTGTGCTCTTCCCTTCCCAGAAAGCAATGACCTTTATTAGGTATCTGTAAACTATTTAACATGTCTTGTTGCAACATGGTTATTCTATGTGGTCCCTGGCAGATGGAAGGTACTTGTCCTACTTAGCTTTAACTGCCAACTTGACCCAGCCTGGAAATCACAAGAGAGGAGCCCTTCGGTTGAGCAATTCCATAGATCAAACTGGTCCAAGTATGTCTGTGGGGAATTGTCTTGATTGTTAGTTGACATAGTAGGATCCAGCTCCGCTCACTGTAGGTAGTTCCATTCCTTAGCAAGGTGATCTAGGATGTTTGAGGAAGCTAGCTAAGCATTTAAACTGATATATAATCAAATAAATACCTAGTGCCTTTTAAAAGTGGATACTTTTTAGATGGGGCTCTGGAGATGGCTCAGCTGGTAAAAGGATTTGCTACAGAAACCTGATGACCTGAAAGCTTAACCTCTATCCATTTTTCCATCTGCAAATGATAACTATGCCTCAAAAGGCTGAGAGTGGCGATGGTTTATACTGATTGCCACCTTGACAAGACCTAGAATCACCTAGGAATGGAACCTCTGGGCATACCTGTGACTTTAGAGATGAATTAAGCCACTGTGAATGTGGAATATACTCTTTGAGTGGCTGGGATCCTGTACTGAGTTAAAAGGAGAAAGAGAACTGAGTGCTAGCATTCATTGCTTCTGACCCCCTGCATCATGCTCCTGCCTCCGGTCACGCCTATCCTGCTTTGATGCCTCCACGACTATCCTGCTATGAGGGATCGCACCCTCAAACTGTAAGCCAGGATAAACCTTCCCTTCCTTCAGTTGTTTTTAGGAAGCATTTTATTACAGCAGCAACAACAAAAGCAGCTAGAAAATTGGTAGGCAAAAAAAGTAACTAATACACTGGTAAGGTCAACTAAAAAGCATGTAAAATAAAGTGTTTTGTCATTACAGATAAAAACCTATATAAAAACATGATCCCACTGAAGACCAGGAAAGAATTGATCTGAAGGTCTGGGCATGGAGCTAAAAAGAGCAGAAACTGTCAGCATTTACTGAATGCTGGCATACCCCATGATGCTGGCTTTATCTGACTTCATTTTCATAACAATCTCACATGAAGTTTGATAATCTCCATGTAAGCTGTTTTAAGAGGTATGTGTGTGTGTGTGTGTGTGTGTGTGTGTGTGTGTGTGTGTGTACACCCATGTGCAGGTGCCTGCAGAGGCCAGAAGAGGGTAATGAGTCCCGTGGAGCTGGAGTGGTTATAAGCTGCCTTGCATGTCTGATGGGACCTGAACTCAGAACCTCCAGAAGAACAGCAAGTGCTCTTAATTCCCGAGCTTCTCCCCAGCCCCATTTATCCCCATTTTTTAAGATAAGGTGGCTGCTTCAGAGACCCTAAGTTGCCCAAAGTCTTTCAAGTGATAAATGGTATGACATTTAAAAAAAAACTACAAAGAGAATATATAGTAACATGAAAAATATTAAGGGAAATGGGCAAATAAAAAATTGATTTGGGGCATGAAAAATGTATGTGGAGAGAGGATCAAGGACTAAGAATAGAAGCATGTCATAAATTTGGTGCAAGGAGAATTTTTCTACCTTTTTAACTTCCTTGCTCTTTGTTCAATAAGCTGGGGAGAGTATCATTGCACACGTATTTCTCTTAAATGATTCTTTTCATCCCATTAGTTTCCTCAAGATCACCTGGTGTCCACCCTGCAGCTTTGTGTGGCCCAATGTAACTAGGAACGTGTACTGACATAATTTTTGAATTATGCACACCCCACACACATACATACATATGCATACACCACACATACACACACACAGAGAGAGAGAGAGAGAGAGAGAGAGAGAGAGAGAGAGAGAGAGAGAGAGAGAGAGAGAAGGAGCTGGGGGAAGACCCTTTTCCTGCTTTAGCCTGGGACACCTTTCCAGGTCACCCTCTTGAGGATTCATTAACAACTTGTAGAACTCTGTAGCTCCTCCTAACACCAAGCTTGGCCCTCCTCAGTCCCTAACAGATCAGTAACAATGATACTATAAATAATGTAGCAATAAATAATGCTATTTATTTATTTCCAGGCAGGGTTTTTCTGTAGTACTGACTGTCCTGGAGCTGACTATGTAGATCAGGCTGTCCTAAAACTCACAGAGATCCACCTGCCTCTGCCTCCGGAGTGCTGGGATTAAAGATGTGCATCACCAACGCCCTTGATACGCTTTATAAAATATGAGACTGGGTCCTGAAAGATGCCTCATTGGGTAAAAATGCTTGGCAGCAAGTCTAAATATCTGAATTCCACAGATGTGAGTTCTATCCCTGGGATCCACATGGTAGAAAGAGACAACAGTTCCTTTAGTTGTTCTTGGACCTCATGATTCTCTCTGTTTCTGTTTCTGTCTCTGTCTCTCTGTCTCTGTCTCTGTCTCTCTCTCTCTCTCACACACACACATTTAAAATGTAAAAATAATTTCAAGTATGAAAATTGGGAAGGGGTGTTGGTGGAGGGTGAAGAGAAATTCACCAAGTGTTTTGTTTTTGTTTTGTTTTTCCAAGAGTAGATGAGAGTAGCTGCTGGGCGCTTGCCTGTAGTGGACAATCCAATTCCCCTGGGCACTACAAGACAAGATTAAAGTTTCAACAACAAAACCTCTGGCTTGAAACTGGAGGAGGGTGGTATAGTACTATTAGACGCCCCCCCCCACCCACACACACAGGCAAGCACCGGAAGTTAGGGGTTTGGCAAGCAGGTTGAAAACCGTCCCTCTTCCTGATCTCTGTCAACAGCTTCAGCCTGGAGCGTTTTGCACAAGGCGCAGCGGGTAGGGGAATAAACTCCAGTGCTCAAAAAGCCCTCCTTCTCTAGGAGCTGGGAATCTAGCGGTCAGGATGAAGCTGCGCTATTTCACGCACTGCAATATTTGGTACTCTTGCTCCGGATACAGGTAGAATCGGGGCTTCGAGAAACCACAATGCCTTTGGCTGGGACTCCAATGTCTTCAGTGTCTAACAGAGCCACCAATTCCGCAGGAGGCATGTGAGGAAGTAGTGGCTACAGAATCATGACAGGATTGTTAAAAACCTTCCCCGGAGGCGGAGGCGGCCGCTACGATTCTCTCCGCCCGCCTGGGACAGCGCTACAGCTACAGCTCCTATTGGTGGAGGCTCCATACCTCCTCCGCCCACTTCAGCCCACACCAGGGGCCCCTGGGTTCCAGCCACTATCCATGGGAGGTCTGTCTGAGCCATCCCTGCGCTCAGACATCGGTCCCCAGCCCTCAGCAGCCAGTTACCCTGAAGACCACAAAGGGACCTGGAGATCCTGATGCGCTGGGCAAAGCTGAATTAAGGGATCCCACTCATTTTTTTCCAACCTGGAAAAAAGGACCCACGAAAGCCGCCAAAAGAAGCGCGAAAGGGAGGCTGCAGTTTGGAAAAAGAACCAGGGTGGCGCGATTTAGACTTCTCTGCGGTACAGGGAACGAAGCGCCTCCTTCTATTTCGCCACCCATTCAGTCCATGCAACCACGCGCACATCTGCCCAAGAGCCCAAGTCCCTGAACAATGGAAGTCTCTAACCTCTCAGGCGCCACCCCTGGCTTGGCCTTTACCTCGGAGCCGGAGAGCTGCAGTGACAGCTCAGGTTCCACCAGGGGCGTGGGGTGCACCCCAGGTGGGCTCCTCTTGCCTGACCGTGAGCCACACTTCTCCATCTTCACCGTGCTCGTGGTGACTCTATTGGTCTTGCTGATCGCTGCCACTTTCTTATGGAATCTGCTAGTTCTGGTTACCATCCTGCGTGTCCGTACCTTCCACCGCGTACCACATAACTTGGTGGCCTCTACAGCCGTCTCCGACGTGCTTGTGGCGGCCCTGGTGATGCCACTGAGCCTGGTAAGCGAGTTGTCGGCTGGACGACGTTGGCAGCTGGGCAGAAGTCTGTGCCACGTGTGGATCTCCTTTGACGTGTTATGCTGCACGGCCAGCATCTGGAACGTGGCTGCCATCGCCCTGGACCGCTACTGGACCATCACGCGTCACCTACAATACACGCTGCGCACCCGGCGCCGGGCTTCTGCGCTCATGATCGGGGTCACCTGGGCACTGTCCGCGCTCATCGCGCTCGCCCCGCTGCTCTTTGGCTGGGGCGAAGCCTATGATGCTCGGCTGCAGCGTTGCCAGGTGAGCCAGGAGCCCTCCTATGCTGTCTTCTCCACTTGCGGAGCCTTCTACTTGCCTCTGGCCGTGGTGCTCTTCGTCTACTGGAAGATTTACAAAGCAGCCAAGTTTCGCTTTGGCCGCAGACGGAGGGCTGTGGTACCCTTGCCCGCCACCACGCAGGTGAGAGGGGTTGGTTGGGAATTTGGGGGCGAGACACCCTGGGAGGGTTGAAATTTAGAGAAAATGGAAGAGTGGGACAGAGCTTGACTACTGCGGCATAAGAGGAAAATCTGTCATATTGGGAACGCGAGAGGAGATGGCAATCTGCTCTTTGGAAGAGCACATGGGGTGGCTTATCGCTTGTACTTCTAGCGAACCACCTGCGGGACACACACCTGTGAAAATGGTTTCTTCACTTGCACATTCGGACTAGTGCTGGAGCCTCCAAAACATCAAAAGTAGGTGTGTGTGTGGTGTGTGTGTGTGTGTGTGTGTGTTGAGGCGGAGTCTCGTTAAGCCCAGACTAGACTTCAACTTTCTTTGTAGGTGAGGATAGCCTTGGATTTCTAGTCCCCCAGCCTCCACCACCAGAGTGGAAGATTACAGGCATGCACCACCAACCTCCCTGTATGCAATGGGGTTGGGATGAGGGTGGAACTCAGGGTTTCTTGCATGGGAGGCAAGTCAGTGTACTAATTCAGCTCCATCCCCTGCTTAGCTTTCTTTTTTTATTTTTTGTTTTTTGTTTTTCAAGACAGTGTTTCCCTGTATTGTTTTGGAGGCTGTTTTGGAACTCACTCTGTAGACTAGGCTGGCCTCAAACTCACAGAGATCTGCCTGACTCTGCCTCCCGAGTGCTGGGATTAAAGGCATGTGCCACCAATGCCCAGCCCTGCCTCCTGGCTTTCTTGATGTTAGCAAGTCACATCTAATTATCTGGGCTCAGGCAGGCAGGATGTCTTATCTGGTAAAGGCTCTTTCCGCCAGGCCTGACAGCCTGAGTTCCATCCCTGAGACTTGTCCACATGGACTGCACTGCACTTGCAAAGAATCTCTCTCTCTCTCTCTCTCTCTCTCTCTCTCTCTCTCTCTCTCTCTCTCTCTCTCTCTCTCTGTCTGTCTGTCTCTCTCTGTATATGTCTCTCCCTTTCTCTCTGTTCTGTCTCTCTGTCTCTCTGTCTCTCTCTCTCTCTCTCTCTCACACACACACACACACACACACACACACACACACACACACACACACACGCGCGCGTGTTCATTCACTTGTCAGCACTCTTCATTCTGTCCATGGCAGGTTTGAAGCTACCAACTTCTTGATCCCTGCTAGACTGACTGTTCTGGACGGTAGTGGGATGTCATTCACCTTAATATATGTGAAATTCCTGTAGCTTTCACTCTTTTCTGCCACTGAATCAAGACCCTTCAGAGTCCAGTGACCATATTCCAAAACTCTAGAAGCCACTTCCCAGACTCTTTTTTCTCTCTCTGTATGTGTGTGTGTGTTTTAAAACAACAACAACAACAAATCCATCTCCATTCTCCTTTGTTTAGACCAACCCCAGTAATGTCCCTTGGAGATCCGGAGGAGAGAAACTGGGTTGCAGTTCCAACTCCAGACAACCATTGCTTAATAATACCCTTGTGCCTCATTTTTCTCAACTTTAAACAAGTTAGTTGTTACTTTAATTTAATTTTTGAAGGCAGGGACTCAGGCGTTGCAAGTTGACCTGTAACTTCCTGAGTAGCTGAGGGTGGCGTTGAACTACCCATCTTTCTCCCCTCACCTCCCAGGAGCTGGAATTAGAGGCAGGCACTATCACCCCTAGTTTATAGAGATGTGGGAATGAAGCCTTCAGCTTTGTATGTGTTGGGCAAGCATTCTACCCACATCCCCAGCCTTAGGTGCTACTGTATTGTATAATGCTCCCGGTGAGGATCCCTCGAACTGAAGAATGAAAAAATATCTATATAGTACTGGCTCATAGTGGGTGCCAGAAGGGGTAGAGGAAAGGATGTCTTAACAGCCCACCAGTTTAGCTGAATCAGTGGAGCTGCAGGTTCAAAGTAACTTCAAAAAAAAAAAACCTGACGGAAAACAATTGAGGAAAACATCTAATGTCACAGAACTCTGGACTCCACACACATGCATGTATACCCATGTACACACACACACACACACACACACACACACACACACACACACAATGTGTGGACCAAGAAAGGGATCAAAGTTAAAGAGAGCTTGAGCTAGGAAAGGCTGCTGTAGTTTGTTTTACTTTCCTAAGTGCGTGCGCTTTTAAAAGTAAATTCTTTTTCGTTTTAATGGCAGAGGATTTTTTTAACACAAAACAGGAATGTCAAGTCTATAATTGGAAAATGTTGGAAGGGAGAGCTTTACTCAGAATTAATGATGCTCTTTGAAAGGTCCCTCGGAAATGCCTAGGGTGATCATGGCTTCTCCATCTGATTGGAGGAGTAGGGCTGACTTTTAATAGCTACATCCATCAGTTCTGCACCTAGGAAAATCACGGTGGAATGGACGCCTGGAAGGCCTGCCAAGTCTGATTTTACTCTTCATTTTGGTAGAAGAAACAGGTTTGTTTATTTCTTTATTTACTTTGGTTTGGTTGCGTTGCTGGCGATCAAACTGGGGACCTCGCACTATCACTTAGCACTATCCCTGGCCCTTTCTGTTCTCTTCAGACACATCCTGTTTAGAAAGGTGATGTGAAGAGGGGGGAAGGACAGCTGGCTGACCAATCAGAAGCAGCCCTTGATGGGGAGAAAGAACTCCAGAAGGCAGGGCCAGAATTGTACTGAGTTACTCTTTATTTATTTAATTTTTTTGGTAATCTTTTTTAAAAAATTAAATTAGAAACAAGCTATTTTACATGTCAATCCCAGTTCCCTCTCTCTCCCCTCCTCCTATGCCCCCCACCGACCTCCTATCCCATACCCCTTCTGCTCCCCAGGGAGGGTGAGGCCTTCCATGGAGGATCTTCAGAGTCTGTCTTAACATTTGGGGCAGGGTCTAAGCACTCCCCCTTGTGTCTAGGCTGAGAGAGTATCCCTCTGTGTGGAATGGGCTACCATTCATATACTGGGGATAAATACTGATCCACTACCAGAGGCCCCATAGATTGCTCAGGCCTCCTAACTGACACCCATGTTCAGGGGGTCTGAATCAGTCCTATGCTGGTTTCCCAGCTATCAGTCTGGGGTCCATGAGCTCCACCTTGTTCAGGTCAGCTGTTTCTGTGGGTTTCTCCAGCCTGGTCTTGACCCCTATGCTCATCACTCCTCCCTCTCTGCAACTGGATTTCAGGAATTCAGCTCAGTGTTTAGCTGTGGGTGTCTGCTTCTGCTTCCATCAGCTACTGGATGAAGACTCTAGCATGGCATATAAAGTAGTCATCAATCTCATTATCGGGGAAGGGCATTTAAGGTAGCCTCTCACTATTGCTTATATTGTTAGTTGGGGTCAACCTTGTAGATTTCTGGACATTTCCCTAGTGCCAGATTTTGCTTTAAACTTAAAATGGCTCCCTCTATTATGGTATCTCTTTTCTTGTTCTCCTCTATTCTTCCCCTGACTCCCTCATGTCCTCTTCTTCCCTCCTCTTCTCCCCTTCTCTTTCTCCTAACTCCTTCTCCCCTCCCACACTGCTCCCAATTAGCTCAGGAGATCTTGTCTATTTCCCTTTCTCCGGGAGGGTCCTTCTTGTTTCCTAGCTTTTCTGGTGGTGTGGACTGTAGACTGGTAATCCTTTGCTCTATGTCTAGAATCCATATATGAGTGAGTACATACCATGTTTGTCTTTTTGTGACTGGGTTACCTCACTCAGGATGATTTCTTCTAGTTCCATCCGTTTGTCTGTGAATTCAAGATTCCATTGTTCTTTCCCGCTGAGTAGTACTCCATTGTGTAAATGTACCACATATTCTCTATCCACTCTTCAGTCAATCAGAGTCTAGGTTGCTTCCAGGATCTGGTTATTACAAATAATGCTGCTATGAACATAGTGGAACAGACATCCTTGTTGTATGAATGTGCATCTCTTGGGTATATGCCTAAGAGTAGAATTTCTGAATCTTGTGGTAGACTGAGTCCCATTTTCCTGAGGAACCACCATACTGATTTCCAAAGTGGCTGTAGGAGTTTGCATTCCCACCAACAGTGGAGGAGTGTTCCCATTTCTCCACATCCTCTCCAGCATAAACTTTCATTGGTGTTTTTGATTTTAGCCATTCTGACAGGAGCAAGGTGGTATCTCAGAGTTGTTTTGATTTGCATTTTGATGGCTAAGGATATTGAGCACTTTCTTAAGTGTGTGAGCCATTTTAGATTCCTCTATTGAGAATTCTCTATTTAGTTCTTGTAAAGAGAAGCCTTTTTCTTGAGTGAAACCTTCCCGCCAGCCTGGTTCTAGAGCCGCATCAGTCCCAAATAAACACACAGGAGGCTATATTAATTATGAAGCTGTTGGCCTTGCTTGTTTCTTACTGGCTAGCTCTGACTTATGTAATTACCCCATAATTGTTAATCTACGTATGTCTCTTACCGGAGAAGTTTCTGGGCTTCCTACCCCATGGCGTTACATCTCGACTCCTGTGTTTCTCCTTCCCAGAGTCCTCCTGGACTCCTAGTCCCACCTATCTAGATTCCTATTGGCTCAACAGTGCTTTATTGACATAAGACTTCCCCAACAAGTTCTCTATCACACTTTTTAGTTGGATTATTTGGTATTTTGGTGGCTAGCTTCTTGGGTTCTTTGTATATTTTGGAAATCAGTCCTCTGTCAGATGTGGGGTTGGTGAATGAATATCTTTTCCCAATCTGTGGGCTGCCGTTTTGTCTTCCTGACTGTGTCCTTTGCCTTACAGAAGCTTCTCAGTTTCAGGAGGTCCCATTTATTAATTGGCGATCTACTGAGTTACTCTTTAGAGGTAGGGCCATGGGAAAGTCCACCTCCACTCTGGGCCTTGGCTTCTGCAATGCATGGTATTATCTCTGTCGTGGTTTGAATGTGAAGTGTCTTCTATGTGTTTGAGTACCTGGCTTCCAGCGGGGGATGCTGCTTGGGAAGGCCATGAAGTCTTTAAGAGACAGAGCCTCCCTTGAAGAAATGAGTTGCCTAGAATGACCCTTGATTTCCCAGCCCTATTTTCCTCCCTTT